AACTGCCACAGATGCATTCCTTTGCACTACAGTATCCATAATAAACTGATAAGAAATTCTCTTTGGAAAAAATTGAAATCAAAATTTATTTAAGCTTTTAATATGTACCAGACATATATTAGGGCTATAGGTAGGGGTGGTTAAGAAGAGGAATAAAATATACTATGCTATCAAGATACTAATAATCCACTGGAGAACAGACTCACATATTATCTGATGAAGAACATGCACATATTTACAAATTTTAAAGTCATCTGCATTAAGCATTATGAAATCGAAATACTCCTTAAAACACTTGTTATTTGAAATCATACGTAATGACTGTGCAACTAAAATCTCAGAGTTAATGTAAACTAATCTCAAGCACACTATTTCCCATTATGTCATCAATGTAATAAGCACGACACATTATAGAAACTATGAAGCTCAAATGCATCATTAAACCATCAATTTTAAAGGAAATTTTAGGATAAAGAATATGTTATATATACAAATCCATTCAAAAGACCCCCATACCAGGCAATTACGTAATGAGAATTAGATGAAAAAGGGAGCCCTGGTGGCATAGTGGTTAAGAGCTTGCCTACTAGCCAAAAGGTCGGCAGTTCAAATCCACCAGCCGCCCCTTGGAAACCCTATGGAGCAGTTCTACTCTGTCCTGTAGGGTCTCTATGAGTCGGAACCAACTCAAAGGTACCTAACAACAACAACAAAGTATGATAACTATTTTTTTAAGCTAGATGTAGTTTTTAACATCAGAAGCAAAAGACATCCTGATGTCATATTAGTAAACTGCAACAGACATAGCAAAAAAAATTTTAACTTGTATCCAGAATTTACAGTATCTATGTCTGGGCAGATTTACTAGTCAACAACATGAATGGGTCTGAATTAAGGTAATAAGTCAACAAACAGAATAGCCATTTTTCTTCCATAATTATTTGGAAACAAACAAAAAGTTCTTACTTGTGTATTCTGGTAATGTTGATGTTGCCCCAGTTTATAAATGTGACTGTCTCACCCTCTGACAGGGTCTCTGCATCAGCACCCTCGATGAACACTTGGGGACCATACCACACGGGCTTCAAGCCAACATCGGGATTCTGATTAATAAAAGAAAAGCAGAGTGTTAACTGAAGACAAAAATTACTGAGCCAAGTATGGAAATTTCTATATTCATTCAGCTTACTCTTTAACCAAAAAAAGTTTACCTGTGTTACTACACTGTTAACAGTTCATTCCCATATTAGGAAGTTAGTGCTTTATTTTTCTCTGTCTAGTTAACATACCTGTATCCCCAACTCCATTGTCAGCACTTCAACAGTGCACAGTTGTGGGAAGCAGTCACACTGGCACTGGAGCAGCAATGTTTAGTTTGAATCCCAGCTCTTTGGCACAGTTGCAGTCACCTTACCTCTAAGGCTAACCAACGGGGTTAGATGAGGCGTCTACCCCTGAGGTTCCTCCTGTTTCCAGAGCTAAGAAAGTACTATTTGCTCCATAGTGTCCCTCCTCCCAGAATCTGCTTTGCTATCCTCACGCTCACTGCTTTTGCAGCAGAGAATATAGAATCACTCCTAATCGGTGGCTGCTGGACACTGCAGGACAATCAACGTCACCTTAGAATGGAGCAGGAAATTGTAGACTTTCATATCTTAGAAGACAAGATAATTTAATATATGTATGGATAAGTAAATTTTCTGCCTTTTCAGCATTCCTTAAATGAAGAAGAAAATAGATCTAGGGATTAAAAAATATGCTATCATTTATTAAATTTCAGTTTGTTGGGCAGGATTTGAAAGACAAAAGAGATGCTTCGAAATAAACATTAAACGTGTTTAGTAAAATATTTGTTTAATAAATGCATCAATGCATTTGAGAAAAATCATTTTGCTGTAGCAACTGATACTATAACTACATTGGGCTCAGAACAGAGTGCCGACAGGCTACGTGTGGGCCCCCAAAGCCCCTTTCATTTTTATTATCCTGCTGTATCTTTTAATTCAGAGAAAAAGCATTAGTGAAACTGTGGGGTGACCTTTGGGTGTTTGGCTACTTCTTTCATCTCCTCCTGAGCTTCGGGAATGTTCACAGGGACCACTTCTTTCTTTAGTAATGCAACGTATCGCGGAGCCACCGGGTCAATAACCTGCAAGAAACCATCTGCATGTTACAACCTTCAAATACTTCAGAAACCTTCACAAATCCATGAACGACAGTGCAGGAAGACTAACTGGCTCTCTGTGTTACTGCATTTGCTAATGTGTTGCTGTGCCTGTCAACCTGCCTCTAACATTTAACTGCAAGGAGAAAAAACGAAAAACAATCGTAAATCAAAACTACAGAAGAATTTATAGATCCTGCCTAAAAATAACGACTGGCAGGTGGGAAAAAACCAATCAGCTGAAGCATAATATTAGAAATATTTTTGAAATAATTTTTAGATCTGGTATTAGAAAGTGAGGAAAAATTATCCTGTGGGTTTATATTTTAATCCTACAGGTAAATGTGGTACTCAGTTTTGTATTGCAGGAGAAGCCCACTTGAAAGGAATGTAAATACTTGTGTCTCAGTATCGTTTTCTATAATACACCCTAGGCCACAAACGAACACCAAAAGCAGAACAGCATTAGGTCACTATAATAAGGCAATTTCATAAATCAGAAATATAAACAAGAGAAAATATTTCTAGTAGTCTGCAAGCTGCTTCAGGGTCGAGTCTACATTTACTGTATTCCCAGTTCCTAGCAAGGGCCTGGCAGAGACGGGTAATCAATAAATATATGCAGACTGACTTCTTGAATACTCGTTATGCTGTAACCTACTCCATCTCCAAAACAGCGGTAGCATCTCCTTCTGAAGCTGATGTATTCTTCTCACTTTATTGTTCAATTTAAAACTATCCACGATGACAAAACACAATGGCACTGCTGTGGTGTTAGTCGAGGAGAAACCATTTGTGCCACGTAAGGACCTTCTAGAAAGCATATGGGAAACCACGCAGACACAGTACACGGAGAGCCGAACAGCTAGGTCAAGGAATAGCTGTTCTTTGTCCCGCTGGAAGGATGCAAGAAATCGCAGCGAATTAAACTTTGCTGTTTTCTGTGTGCTTTGTTTTGTACTGGGTTTTTTGTTTTGCTTTGAGGGTATTTTTAGGCTTCCTGAAAAGAATGATATTGTGGAACTTCTAAACGAACTCAGAGAAGAAAACCATCCTCAGAGGGTTATTCGTGCAAATTCTGAAAAGCTATTTAACTTCCCCTTGTCTGCTATTCCTCTGCCTATACTTCACAGCACAACTAAAGCCTCAGCTGAAATCGGGACTTGTCCAAATTTACTGTTTCACTCTTTCCTTGAGGCTTACGTGTCATTCTTAGTTGTTAAGGGTTCCTTCTTCCAGCTTCTACCAGTTAGAATGATGCGAGATTTAACTTGTGACCACTCAGTTCGGTATGTAAGCCAGTAAGACATATTTCTTTAAAGAGGCTAACACAAAACAACCCTGCCTGGGAAACTTACTTCATTTCGCTGCAGCTGTCTCCTGACCTGACAGAGCAGAGACTGTTTCTCATGCTTAGTTAATGATCACTTAGGCCATTGTTGGAGCAAATCCTCAGTCCACTCCCCACTAAAGGACTATGATTCTAATTGTCTGAAGCAGAGAGTGGAAACCTGTATTTTGAAGAAGCATTCTACAGGATTGTCAGAATCAGGAAAGTTTGGGAAGCCTTGGACTAAAAGATTTAAAAGTCCTTTTTCAGCTCTAAAACTGTACAAGTCTAAAAATCTCTGCATCAGTGGCTTTCAAATTACTCCAAAGAGCCCTAAGGATTTCAAGGCAGTTCAGCTGGAGGGGAAAGGAGAGGAATGGGGCTGAAGAGAGTAGGAACCCAGACCCCACTAACACACTTCAACCAAAACAGCTACACGTTTGTTTTATTTATTGGAGTTTAATTTAAAAAAAAAATTTAAAGGAAAACTTTCCTCATTTCAAGGCAGGGGGGTTTAGAAGTCTCGACATACTGAAATTTACTAGCTGAGTTGAGGGAAAAAGGTTTCATTAACGTACCACTGAAATACTAAATCTAAAAATTCAAGCAGCAAAGGTTGACAGAGGCAAGGAATAACTCTGAAACAATACCTCAAAGCTGCGATTCTTCTGCCATGACTGAAGTTTAAATCTTAACACTCAAGTGAACCAGGAAGAAAGTTAGGACAATGAGGTTAATGCAGAGGAAGCTTTGGAACTGCCTCCTCCCAGCATCAAGGGGGCCTTTTTTCTATAGAAACATATTCCATTTAGCTACGATACAGAAAAATTATGTATTAGTGTCAAGTCAAGATGAAAAGTCAGATTAAGAAAACAAGGTTTGTGTTTTCAGAGGGATATTGAGACTCCTAATCACGCCATGTCTCACTGTTCGCTGCGCTCCTTTCTCCTTTATTTTATCGTGTATAATGCTCTCTGTAAATAAAGCTATCTCCAAAGAAGCATGTAATTAAAGAACTCCAGCTAATTTTTTTGGTAGAAGTTGTTTTAAAAAAATGCTGTTACAAAGAGCAAGAGAGCATACAAAGCATGTTTCAGCTCTGCCCCTAATGCTTACTTCACAATGCTGCAGCGTTAAATTCAGTTCACTGATGCTATACTGAAATCTCATTTTCAGAGCTTGGAAAGAAACAGCAGGCTAGAAAATAACAGAGAGACTGTAAGTAACATGACCTCTAACTAAGGGAACTGTAGCTCAAGATCAGAGAGAATGGGCTTCAGTGTAGGAGGATGTAATGAAGGCCAGTAACAGAAACAAAAAAGTACCCGATCAGAATGATTTCACATCCACTACCAATCTGCATGATGTGTTATGTTTCTATGGACTGTGTTTATAAGATGGCACTTAATGATTATAGACCCCACAGACTTCAGGAAAAATAGAGCAGACTGAAGATTCTCATCTGCTTTCACTCCCTCCCAACCCCGCTGAAAAAGGCAGGAAGGATTTTGTTTTGTTTAAAGGCATAAACCTTTAGAATAGAATAGGAGAGGAGATAGTAGCCACAAAATTTTGGAAGCTGAAAAAAATATACGGAAGAGTGGTAACTGACTTAGTGGGCTAAGGAAACAGAATTCTAAAAATGGAGAAAGCCAAGAACCAACTGCAACCCTTTTTCTACTGGAAAATCCTCGAAAGACTCAGGAACTGGTAGTGCCAGGGACCGGTGCAGGGGGATGAATGGGATGGCTACAGAGTGGTGAAAGTTTGCTTACGAAGCACCCCTCTGCCGACCTGTACAACCAGGCACCTGCCTCCTTCCTACCTCGCAGAAGAATGAAATTGACTCTGTGAAAAGAACGCCTGGAGATCCAAACAAGGGGATGAAGCCAATGTGTGGTACTAGATGTGAGGCCCTCCGCGGTTCTCCCCTACACGGCTTCAAAAGTCCTGGCGGCCAGGGAGGTGAACGAAAGAAACTTTCCCAGTGGAAGCTGTCTGATCCAAGAGATAAGACACAAAGTTACTGGCATGGGGCTCTCCACCTAACTGGCCCAGCCATGATCCTATAGCGAAGCTCAGGGGACAAGCCCAACTCTTGCACGTAGGGCTTCCAATCACTTTTAGTACTCCACACTAAACATGAGCAGATAATCAAGGCTAACCAGACATCTGAGAACTGCCTTGAACATGAATGGAAGAAACCAAAGTAAACAACTAGAAGAAAAAGAGATGTAAAAAGGGAAATAAAAGAAATATTAAGATTATAACCATGAGACATGAACATGACCAGGGAAGCAAAAGAGAAATCTTGGAAATATGACAGCATAAATGAAAACTCAACAGAAAGGTAGGATGACCTATCAGAAAGAGGCAAAACACATGATGTAAACTAAGAGTGCAGTTAAGAACATTAGAGGGTGAGTCCAGGAGGTCCAACATCTGCACAAGAAGAGACCCAGAGAGAAGAAAGAAACACAGTCAGGGAAAAAAGAAAAAGAATTCAAGAAAATCCCCAGGAATGCATTTCCAGATTGGAAGCCACCTGTTCTTCTGATGGATGTGGATGAAAACAAATGCACACCAAGCCACATCAGGATGAAAATTTCAGAACAGTAGGTACAAAGAGAAGATTCTATAACAGTCAGTGATAAAACAGGTCATATACAAGATCTCAAGAAATCTTTTCCATCCCACGCTCCCCTTCTAAGGGAGCTACCAAAGGATATGCTATGGCAAAGCAAGAAGATGATGAAAAGAGCAGAAGATACAGGAATTCAATGTCCATCACAGAACAGAGGCAAAGGGAGTCCCCAGGACGCTGACGAAGACAGGCCTGGGAAGACAGCTGAGCTTCAGACATCCAAGACCACTCAGCAGATGGGATCGGAGCAGCACAGAGGCTCTGCAGACATGTCTAAGGTGAAACTGAAAGATTATCTGAGGCACCTGAGCATCTTGGAAGAAAATTTACAAACTTGTGAAGCACTTAAGACTGAATCAGAAAACTAAGCAAACGAGAAACAAAAAATACAAGCAAAGCAAAAAGTTACGAGAAGAAGTAAGAAGCCTAAATCCTTATCTTTCATAGTGGGAGGCCAACTGATAATGGCTGGAACTAAAATATCAGAGGGAGCGATGCACACATCTCCTTTAGAGATAGGGTGATAAACACCAGTACCTAAATGACTACAAGAACTGAAAAGGTTTCCCTAGGGGAAGAAAAATGGAGGGAAAGAGGACTGGGGAATGTGCTGGTCACCTTCACGAACTCTACACAACTATTTGACTGTAGTGAAATACATTTCATATATTTAATTTATTACAAATTAAAACCTCTGAAAGTTGGATCATTAATGGAAAGTGCGCCAATGTTAACTTTGCCTGTAAATTGTACTAGTATTTATTATTTGTAACTGCAGCAACAGAAAGAACCAATTAGTAGTTCCTTTATGTACCAAAAAGCTGACTAATCACGAGATTAAATAAAAGAAATTCAAGACACATGCGAGACAAGCAATTACTTCTTGAGGCAAAGCATCAGCACCGTCAAGCAGCAATCCCCAGAGAAGAATTTACAGAACACAATCACAGAAAGCATAGTTTAAAACTCGGCATGTTTGTGATTTGCCTTATTATAGTGTCTAAGCATCTGCTTCCAATTAGTAATTAACAATATCAATATGCAGTATTCCTCATTTGATTTTCAGTTAAGAAACAGTTAAAAAAGAGCTGCAATTCAATAAGACACAGGACTTGTAATTAGTGAACCTTCAATACAACTCAATGAGATATATAATAATAAAACTCTATGTCCTCTCAGCACACAAGGGACCAGTAGAATGGAGTTAGCCGGATCTTCCCTTTGCCACTAAGAAAACCAGAGGACATGTTTCTTAAAACCAGGAATAATGCATTTTTCAATGAGTTTGTATAATCAAGTCTTTTATATAAATGTGATTGTGCTTCAAAGCCATGTAATATCCAGGTTACAACATGTAATACGCCAAAAGCTACGCACTAAGGCAAAGACAAGCGTTAAGTAATACCTTCTTACAGAGAGTTCGCAGCTTGAAAGCAGAAAAATGAAATGCAGAGTATTCATAAAAGATGTAAGGAAAAAACTATTACCAATCCCCACAACTCCAAGTTTGTTTTAATCACTGTTATTTGTTTGGGATAATTAATAGGCTTAACAATTTTTATATATTTAAAAAAGGAAAACATTCCATTTTCCTGAAAGTCTGCAAATATTCTTCACAAATTTTTCTCTACCATGGGCACACTAATGAATTCGATATGTAATTCAGAAGTTCGGCATGAGAAAAGAGAACTGAGAGTTAAAACATGTACCTTTTTATTAAATGCCCAGATTTTGTCCCATTCCATGTTCACAACTGAACGTGAAGAGCCCTAGAAAAACATTAACAAAACAATTTAATGGGCAAGAGGTATTAATCAGAACTTTTTTTTCAGAAAAAAAACTTTTATTTAGGAAAAATAAACCCAAGAAGCGCTTGCAGGTATATGTCCGTTGTAATACAAAGTTTAGTGTATACAAACTAATTTGATTACCCTATAGACTGAGGGGTTTATTTGTTTGTTTGGGGTTTTTTAAAACCATTTTACTGGGTAAAAAAATACCACATATCTTGGGTGAAGGGTGAGACAGTACACAATACAGGGGAAACTAGCAGCACAACTTGTACAAGGAAAGGTCATAGAAGCCCCACAGACACATACAAACTCCCTGAGGGACTGAATTGCTGGGCGGAGGGCTGTGGGGACCATGGTCTCAGGGAACATCTAGCTCAATTGGCATAACACAGTTTATAAAGACAACGCTCTACATTCTACCTTGGTGAGTAGTGTCTAGGGTCTTAAAAACCTGTGAGCAGCCATCTAAGATACTCCACTGGTCTCATCCCTTCGGGAGCAAGGGAGAATGAAGAGAACAGGATGGATACACGGAAAAGATTAGTCCGAAGGACTAATCGTCCACAGCTACCAAGGCCTCCACCGGACTGAGTCCAGTACAGCTAGATGGTGCCCGGCTACCACCACTGACTGCTCTGACCAGGATCACAACAGAGGGTTCTGGACAGAGCTGGAGAAGGATGTAGAGCATAATTCTAACTCACAAAAAAAGACCAGATACTGGCCTAAAGGAGACTAGAGAAACCCCAACAGTATGGCCCCCAGACACCCTTTTAGCTCAGTGGTGAAGTTACCTCCGAGGTTCACTGTTCAGCCTGGGAGAGGACAGCCCCATAAAACTAAATGAGACTAACGAGGTACAGTAGTCCAGTGACAAGGGCCAGAAGGCAGAAGGGGACAAGGAAGCTGGTGATAGGGAACCCAAGGTTGAGTAAGGATACTGTTGATGTGTTGTGAGATTGTTAACCATTGTCATAGGGCAACATTTGTAGTAACTGTTAAATGAGAAACTATTTTGTTCTGTAAGCCTTCATCTTAAGTGAGAATAACAGCACAATTGGAAGAGCGTAGTCAATGTCACTGAACTGTACACGTAGAAATTTTTGAAATGGTGTATCTTGGGCTATGTGTATTCTCACCAAATAAAAGGTTGAGAAGTTAGAGGGTTGATATGTTGTGGGGTTGTTAACCAATGTCATAAAACAACATGTGTACTACTGTTTCATGAGAAACTATTTGTTCTGTAAGCCTTCATCTGAAGTACAATTAAAAAAAAAAAAACCACAGCTGGCTTTGTCCAACAACAGGTGAGTCATTTAGGACATTCTCAATTCTCCACTGTTATAAACAGCGCTACACGTACTTTTAATTTTGCCCTTGCATTACAAGGAACAAACAAGGGGCAGAAAGCCAACAAAAAGGAAAAATAAAAACTAAAGGGATATCAACAGACACTTAAAGACTCAAACAGCACCTGGGAAGGAAACCACCACTCACCTGAGCAGCGATGAACTGTTTCAGTCCCTCCACCGTCAACCCTCTTCTCAGGACACCACGGACTGTAGGGAATCTTGGGTCATCCCTGGGAATATGTAAATTTTTCATTACCAAGGAGTTTTTTTTTTTTAATGTGTCGATGCAGAGAGTACAAAATGCCTTAATGAATAATAAATTATACAGCTTTTTAAATGTTTGGACTAAGAGCTGGTTGTATTAACTGGGTAGATGACAGTACCTGAGAGCCCCAGTTCATGGAACAGGAAACCTGCTTGCTCAGTGAAATAAATGCACCACTGGAAATACATCGTAAAGGTACATTTGAAAAAGGACACACTGGTGACATCTTCACATACGGAAAACCCATGCATTAATATAGTCTGATTAGCTTTTTATTAAACAAACATTCAAGATCAGATAAGAGATGGCATCATTGGCGTCATCCACGTCATGAATATATTTTATGAAGCCCTTCGGGTTGTAAAAGCATATATACCTAAGCTATTAATATTCTTCAGAGATCTGCAAACTTCAGTAACTAAACCTGCTGTATGGGGCTCAAGATAAACTTGCCTTTTATCAAATTCAGCTCCACAATAAAACAGTATAAAATACATTATTTATTTATTTGACATATTCTTCATATACACCTTAGTCAATATTATGTGATGTGAATATAAACTAATATATACAATCTTGTTAATTCAGATAAAAAAAATCTTTTAGACTTATAAACATGGTAACACATCTGAACAGATACATTTCATGGATATACTCACTGGCTGTTAAGACCACCTTCATTTTTATACTCATGTCTATCTCATAAAAATCCTATATACGTTATTTACAGGCTACAAAGGTTTTCAAACTTTTTCTAGGTGCTGAGTCCTCTGGGCAACTGTGCCACCAGGTGGAGCCTCAAACAGGACACAGACCACTTAGGGCCTCATCTCAGCTTAGGCTTTGCTGGCCTTCCTGGGACTTGGCTGAAAGAAAAACCTCAGCACCTCGGCAGAGAGTGGAGGGTGGTAACCAGATCTATGGAGGACCAGAAGCCACAGCCGCTTTCTATGAAACTCTGAGCTCTGCAGAGGACGTGCCCTCATGAGTGGTTTCCATCCCTGAGTGCCATGGTTCATGATGGGCACACCATGTCTGTTGCATTATGACAAAGCGGGGGAAACCTTATGCCCTGGTTGCAATGAAGTTAGAGTCGGGGAACCCTGCAGGCCTACCCGTTCTACCTCCTCTCAACCACCCTCCCCAACCCTCAAAGCACTCTGTACATCACTGATATTCTTACTTCCTATCAATTTCATGTAACATTACACATACCATCCATCTACTAGTCCTTCATTGACAAACCATGTGAGTTTTCTTTTGGATAGCACTGTGTTGTTGAGATTTAGCCGGCTATATTCCCAAATATACGGTTTTCTGATGCCCAAAGCTTCAATAATCCAATAAAACTGCTCGTCTCTGTCATGGTATTCTGTTGTTCTCAGGGCATGTGTAACACCTTCAATGCTGTCCACTATGGGGCAGGCAAAATCATATGTCGGATAAACACTAGGAAAAAAAGGAAAGTTGTGAAAATCAACATGAAACATTTCACCCTTTCCATCTTAGATCAGCCTTTGAGAATGATCAATCAGTTATCCACTCAGTATTCAAACAAAAATGCGTATTTGCAATCAAATACACAATTGTATATTGCTTTGGCAAATTCTACAATCATTTTTGTAATGGTCAATGAATACAATGGTAAGAAGCAATAAACTATATATGTATACAATAAATTCGAGGGACTTTAGCTTTTGAGCATCTTTGATAATCCCCCATGCAAGTAAATCTATAAAGGCTTTAATACTTGAGTTAAATGCACTCAAGAACAGAGTGTTTTCACTTTCTGCAAGTAAATTATTAGGCTAAAATTCCATCTGAAGATGGAATTGTCTTAAAAGCAGTATCTGCCCAAAATAAGGTACACACATACATGCAGTTGTCATTTGAATTTTTAAAAGTACATTACCATATTATGCCTTCTAATTTTTTAAATTTGATTTTCTTAAGATGCTACTGCATTATGCTTTTCAATTAGGTGCTGCTGAAAATGTGTATCCAAATTTACTTTTCCAAACGTTTTCAAAGTAATTGTTTAATAAAACAAGGAGTAATCATCCTGGTAAATAATGGGCATATTTATACACGTATAACCGCATAGACGTTTATCTACACATGGACACACACATCCATACCCTCAAGTTTAAAGACAGTCGTACTAGCTACCCAGGTAATCATTTACATTCACCAATATCTCTTTTGGGGTTGCAATTCAGCATGCAGTAGTAGACTTCTTCATACTATAAAAACATACATTCTATGGTTCACTTTATAAAATAAGCTATTGCGGGGTGAGCTATTTAAAGAAAACAGAACAGTTAATCTGAAAACTAATTAAAATTATTAAAAATGTACGATACTTTCTTATATTTTTCATATCTTTGAAGCTTTTATTCCTATGACTCTTATAGACAGAAGTGATCTTAGACATACAGGTAGCTCCCGACCTACAACATATTTGAGATACTACAAACCGCACTTTCAACTGTCCATTTCGGTTTTTTATACTGTACGTCTTACCATTAGTAATATTTACTACATATAATGTTGCAGCACATAATTTGATGTTATCATTCTCAGACATTCACTCACAGATGTTCAATTTTATGATTTACTTTGCTGAAGTCAATAGGCAAATTCGGGAAGGAGTGAGACGTTACCATAAAATACAGAAAGAAGAAAAGGACCATACAGACAACTCTCACTGATTTTCTGACTAGACATGCCATTCCAATTCCCACAATATAGACAATCCATATGTAGATAATCTAGATAATCCAGAAACTTCCACAAGTGGAGTTACTGCAACAACTGACAAAATGCCAATGTCGTTCAACTCTTCATCGTCGGAGTAAATTTTTATGTTTTGTGCTTTTTTTTTATGTATATGTTTCTATTAAAACATATCTGTAAGTTTATATGTAATGTTTCCAACCCCTAAAGACAAATAAAGATAGAATTTATAAAGATACTGATAATAAAAGGCAATAATGGAAAAAAAAAAAGAATAGTAAATGAAGTCCTATCAACACAAGAAAGAAAATAATAAAGATCAAAGCAGAAATAAATGAAATAGAAAACAGAAAAACAATAGAATCAACAAGACTAGAAGCTGGTTCTTTGAGAGGATCAATAAAATTGATAAACCACTGGGCCAAACTGACAAAGGAAAAAATGAGAAGATGTAAATAACCAAATAAAAAATGAGATGGATGGCATTACAACAGAACCAACTGAGATAAAAAGAATCATTAACAAAATATGAAAAACTGTACTCCAACAAATTTGAAAACCTAGGCGAAACGGACAAATTTCTAGAAACACACTACCTACCTAAACTAACACAAATAGAGATAGAAAATTTGAACAGACCCATAATGAAAGAAGAAACTGAAGATGTCATTTAAAAAAAAAAAAAAAAGCCTCAGCCCAGATGGCTTCACTGGAAAATTCTACCAAACATTCAGAGAAGAGTTGACACCAATTTCACTCAAACTATTCTAGAACATAGAAAGGGAAGGAATACTCCCTAATTCATTCTAGATGAAGCCGGTATAAACCTGATACCAAAGCCAGGCACAGACACCACTTAAAAGAAAATTATAGACCAATATCCCTCATGAATATAGACACAAAAATTCTCAACAAAATTCTAGCCAACAGAATTCAACAGCATATCAAAAAGAAAACAAAAAAACATCATGATCAAGTGGGATTCATAACAGGGATGCAAGGATGGTTCAACATTAGAAAAATCAATCAACATAATCCACCACATAAACAAAACAAAGGAAAAGAATCACATGATTATCTCACTCTACACAGAAAAGGCGTTTGATAAAATTCAACACCCCTTCCTGATAAAAACTCTAAGCAAAATAGGAATAAAGGGGAAATTCCTCAACATAATAAACGGCTTATAGGCAAAACCAAGAGCCAACATCACTGTCAATGGCGAAAGATTGAGAGTTGAGAGCATTCCCCTTGAGAATGCGAAGGAGACAAGGACATCCTTTATCACTACTCTTACTCAACAGTGTATGGGAAGTCCTAGCTAGAGCAACAAGGCAAGAAAGGGAAATAAAGGGCATCCAGATTGGAAAGTAAGAAGTAAAACTATCCTTATTTGCAGATGACATGATCCTATAAATAGAAAATCCCAGAGACTTCACAAGAAAGTTACGGGAACTAATAGAAGGATTCAGCAAAGTGGCAGGGTACAAGATCAACACACAAAAATCAGTTGGGTTCCTCTATGTTAACAAGGACTCTGAAAAGGAAATCAAGAAAACAATACCATTTGTAATAGTCCCTGAAGGAATAATGTATCTAGGAATATACCTAAGTAGGAGCATAAAAGACTTAAACATGCAAACTATTAAACACTACTGCAAGAAACTAAAAGAGATGTAGATAAATGGAAAAATATTCCATGCTTATGGACTGGAAGACTTGACATTGTGAAAATGTCAATACTACCAAAAGCAATCTATAGATACAAGGCAATCCCAATCCAAATCCCAACAACATTCTTTAATGAAATGGAAAAACTAATCTCCAACTTATATGGAAAGGAAGCCCCGAATAGCTAAAGCAATACTGAAGAACAAAGTAGGTTGCCTCACACTTCCTCGTTCAAAACTTACTATATAGCCACAGTAATCAAAACAGCTTGGTACTGGTTCAATGACAGACACATAGACCAACGGAAGAGAACTGAGAACCCCGAAGTAAATCCATCCATGAGCAGCTGATTTTCCACAAAGGGTCAAAGTCCATTCAATGGGGAAGAAACAGCCTCTTTAACAAATGGTGCTGGGAAAACTGGATATCCATCTGCAGAAAAATGAATCAAGAGTCCATACCTGATACCATGCACAAACACTCACTCAAAATGGATCAAAGACCTAAATGTTAAAGCTAAAACTATAAAGTTTCTGAAAGATAACAGAGGGTCAAAACTAGGGGACCTAATTTTCTGCATAAACGATCTATCAAACAAAACTAAAAATGCACGAACACCAGAAGATAAATTAGATAAATGGGATCTCCTAAAAATTAAATACTTATGCTCATCAAAAGACTTTATCAAGAGAGTGAAAAGAAAACCTACAGATGGGAAAAAATCCTTGGAATGCCTTATCTGATGAGGGTCTAATCTCTAAAATATACAGAAAACTTCAACAGCTCATCAACAAAAAGACAAACAATCCAATAAGAAAAAATGGGCAAAGGACATGAACAGACACTTCACCAAACAGGACGTTCAAGTGGCCAACAAACACAGGAAAAGATGCTCGTGATCATTAGCCATTAGAGAGACGCAAATGAAAACCACAATAAGATACCATCTCACCCCTGTAAAAATTGCAATGATCACGAAAACAGAAAACAACAAATGCAGGAGAGGTTGTGGAGTGGCTAGAGCTCTGATACACTGCTGGTGGGATAGTAAAATGGTACAACCTCTATGGAAAACAGTATGCGGCTTCCTCAAGGGCTACAAATAAAAATACCTTATGATCTCACAATCCCACTCCTAAATATATATCCTAGAGATATAAGAACAGTGACATGAATAGACATATGCACACCTATGTTCATTGCAGTATTAGTCACAATAGCAAAAAGATGGAAACAACCTAAGTGTCCATTGACAGGTGAACAGATAAACAAATTGTGGTACATACATACAATGGCATACTACACAGCTATAAAGACTAATGATGAATCCATGAAACATCTCACAACATGGATGAATCTGGAGGACATCATGCTGAGTGAAATAAGTTAATCACAAAAAGACAAATATTGTATGGTCCCATTATTCTAAAAAGTCAAAAACAGATATATATACAGAAAGCAAAGTTCTTCAGTGGTTAACAGGGATGGGAGGGAGAAGGAGGGGGAATCACTTTCTATATAGTAGCCACTTATTACTTCTGGTGATGGGAAAGGCAATCCCAAATATGGGTGAAGTCAGCACAACTTGACCAAGGTAAATAAAGACACTAAGAAGTACGAGAGAAAAAAGGGACAATTTTGGTAAATGCTATAATATATACAATTCTGCAACAACACCAGAAACAACCAAAAACTATGTGGGCAGTTACGCAGGTAGACATGGATGCATATATGTGTACAGGAAGGCATATGCGAGTAAATGCACATGCTTGTATAGGTGTATCTGTAGGCATATGGATACATCCACTTGTGTTTGCTGCATATATATACACATACATAACCAACCAGATAGGGGGCACAGTTACAGTGGCTTCCTAGACATATCCAAACAACTCGTGGGATTGGTTTATTAGGTCAAAAGGCTTGGGACTAGTCTCAGGGGACAGCTTAGTCAGCTGGCATAACATAGTTCACAGAGATAATGTTCTATATCCAAGTCTGGTGAATATCATCTGGGGTCTTAAAAGCTTGCAAGCAGCCATCTAAGATACAACTATTGGTCTCTACTGATATGGAACAAAATAGAATAAAGGAAATTAAAGGCTCAAAGAAGAAACTAGTCCGTGGGGCTAACAGCCCACACAAACCACAACCTCTTCACACCTGAGACCAGAAGGACTAGATGGTGCCTGGCTACCACAACCAACTGTTCTGACCATGGACACAATAGAAGGTCCCGGATAGAATGGGAGAAAAATGTAGGAGAAAACTCAGTTCCTAAAAAAGGCCAGACCTATGGACTGATAGAGACTAAAGGAACCCCTGAGACTATCACGCTAGGATACCCTTTGAACTTGGAATTGAAGCTACTTCTGCAGGTCACCTGTCAGCCAAATAATAGATCGGCTTACAAAATAAACAATATTACCTATAAGTAATGTGTTCCTTTAAGCAGTTAACTATATGCGACCAAACGGTCAACAGTTACCCAAAAGCAAAGATGAGATGCAAGGAGAGGAAGGGAAGCTAGACTAATGGAAACAGAACAAACAGAAAGGAAATAATGAGAATGCTGACACATTGTAAAAATTGTAACCAATATTACAGTACAATTTGTATAAAAACTGTTAAAGGGGAATCTAATTTGCTGTTTAAACTTTCACCTACAACACAATAAAATATTATTTTAAAAAAAGGAGTTCACAATAGCAAAAAGATGGAAACAACCTAGATGTCCATCAACAGATGAATGGATAAACAAACTATGGTACATACACACAATGGAGTATTACACAAAGATAAAGAACAATGATGAATCTGTGAAGCATCTCATAACATGGATGAAACTGGAAGACATTATGCTGAGTGAAATGTCAATCACAAAAGGACAACTACTGTATGAGACCTCTACTGTAAAAACTCATGAAAAGGTTTACACACAAAAAGAATTTTTACGAGGGATGGGAGGGGTCGGGGGGAAATACTAAATAGACAATAGATAAGTGGTAACTTTGGTGAAGGGTAAGACAGTACACCATACTGGGGAAGCCAGCACAACTTGTACAAGGAAAGGTCATGGAAGCTCCACAGACACTTCCAAACTCCCTGAGGGAGTGAATTGCTGGGCGGAGGGCTGTGGGGATCATGGTCTCGGGAAACATCTAGCTCAATTGGCATAACACAGTTTATAAAGAAAATGTTCTACATTCTACCTTGGTGAGTAGCTTCTGGGGTCTTAAAAGCATGTAAGCAGCTATCTAAGATACTCTACTGGTCTCACCCCTTCAGGAGCAAGGGAGAATGAAGACAACAGGATACAAGGAAAAGATTAGTCCAAAGGACTAATGGACCACAACTACCACGGCCTCCATGAGACTGAGTCCAGTATAACTAGATGGTGCCTGGCTACCACCACTGACTGCTTTGACCGGGGTCACAACAGAGGGTCCTGGACAGAGCTGGAGAAAAATGTAAAACAAAATTCTAACTCACAAAAAAGACCAGACTTACCGGCCTGACAGAGACTAGAGAAACCCCAAGAGTATGGCCCCCGGGCACCCTTTTAGCTCAGTAGTGAAGTCACTCCCGAGGCTTACCCTTCAGCCAAAGATCAGACAGCCCCATAAAACAAAACGATACTAACGGGGCACAACAGTCCAGAGACAAGGACTAGAAGGCAGAAGGGGACAGGAAAGCTGGTAATAGGGAACCCAAGGTCAAGAAGGGACAGTGTTGACATGTTGTGGGGTTGTTAACCACTGTTAAAAAACAATATGCGTACTAACTGTTTAATGAGAAACTAATCCGAAAACCTTCATCTAAAGTACCAGAAATATATATATATATATATAAATGAGGTATTTAACTTACATCAGAACTGACTGAAACAAATGAGGTATTCGTACTTACCTCAGGACCAAATAAAACAAATGAGGTATTCAACTTACATCCAAACCGACTTACAGCTGAGTTGTCAGAACAGAACCCAGTCATAAATCGAGGACTACCTGTGATCTGATATGACCTTCACTGTCAGTGAGTAAACTGAGGCCCTGAGAGACTAAGTGTCATTACCAAAGGCTGCCCAGCCAGTTAATCTGTGGATGAACAAGTCTCTTGACTATTCTGCCAGGATCTATTATGTGTTTATGGAGAGGACCAAAGCGAAAGCATCAAAGGCTCCCCAGCATATTGAAATACGTACTTGTATTTATTTCCAGTTCTTGGGTGTGGCTGAATTTTGCAGCGATAAAGCGTTGGGTCCCTCATGCAACCATTGTTACTGCTCATGTCAATTTTTGCTCGCAAACAACAGGACTGACCAAATGGACTTCCTTTTTTCATTTCTTCCCACATTTGTAGATTCTTCTCAATAGCTATAAAATGATAGTTATATTAGTTTATCTAGTGTATTACTAACCTGGTTCAATTCAAATTACTTTAATAGTCCTATAATTTGATACAAATTTTCAAGTTCTTATTTTACGTAAGCACAGTCTATTAGTTTAAAACACTGGAATACGTTCAATACCTGATACCAAGAGCAAACGCATCAATTTTTAATGACAAAAAGTCTCTCAGTACATTTAGGAAATGTACTCTATGCCTACGTTTAAGAAGTGGTAAAGCCAACAAATCCCGCTGATATAACATCAACCAAGGGGAAGAGGAAATACGAGGTTGGAGGGCTCCTCTCACCCAGTGTTTCTCCTTTTCCCCTCTTGGCACTCCTGGTCAGCTTCTCTTCCCTTCTTCCCACGCTCAAATTTTAACTCTCTGTCTTCGATGCAGCAGCATTCTCCTCCCTTGCCACTTCATGCCTGGGGACAGACTCGTCTGTCCGGCCCATGGGGCCACATGCATTGGCACTGCAGCCCACACCCGTCTGAAGAACATGGCTTGGGCTGAGAGCCTGAGCCTTTGGGCTCCCTGGAAGCCCCTCCAGTTATCCCAGTGAGAAGCAGGATACTCAGAATAAGAAAACGAGGCATGACAGGAAACAGCAATACAAGAAAGTAGAGTTTAATCCCAGAAAAAAGAACTCTATATTCCGCGTAACTATGTATGGTCCTACCGGGTCGCTGTGAGTTGGAATCGACTCAATGGCACACAATAGTCCTACCTATATCAGAACATCGAAGATCTGCCCCATTTAGATAAAAACCAAAACCAAACCCGTTGCCGTCGAGTTGATTCTGACTCATAACGACCCTGAGGACAGAGGAGAACTGCCCCACAGGGTTTCCAAAGAGCACCTGGTGGATTCAAACTGCTAACCTTCTGGTTAGCAGGCAAACTCTTAACCACTGCGCCACCAGGCTTTCCATATAGGTAAGAGCGAGCTATTAAACAGTAATTCTCTGGGGAAACTACTGAAGATATCATGGGCACTTTATCAGCCCTCCAAAAATCAAGTTAGGTTTAGAAGTCCACGTGTTAACGATCTTCAAAAATGTAGAGGAGACTTTCCAAAAAACCAGAAAGATGTCTACAACAATTTGAATTTACTATACTTCCCAAGTGTGACATCAAGATTTAAACGCAGTAGTGTGGAAGTTCTGACAACACAACGAGAGCCTGCAAAGAGGCCAGATGAGGCGCCCAGGGGACAAGGCGTGAAGAAGAAAGATATGCTTCTTTGTCAAGCAATATTTCAGAGACACAGGGCAGTACCAAGATTGTTACATTTACATCTACCCACACACTGAAAGAAGACTGGGGTGATAATAACTTTATCATCAGACATTTTAGAAAGCCTAAGTAATTGAGAAAACTACCAGGTGTTGCAGAAGGAATTGTTTTAAGGGAATGAATGCAATGCAAAACACTCTACATAATAAATGAGATCTTAAGGGCATGCACACTTCATGTACAATTGTGATGCTAACGAAGTCATAAGAATTTAAAGATGAAAGAAAGGAAAAGGAATTCTAAGAGAGGAATGTATGAAATCACAGTCTCAAATGTGTTCCGAACAAGTATCTTTCACAGAAAAGAAATCATGTTCTATAAAGAAGCAGAATACAAGAAGAGTCTCACTTAAATACACAACACCAAATGAGCCTTACGGTTTTTTCTGTGTTTGGATTCTATCCTCTGCTCACGCTCCGCTTTCATCTGCTCGGCCGGAGTGTCATCCACATAAGCCTTCCCTTCTTGAATCAGCTTCTCTGCATATTTCATTATAGTTTCAAAATGATCCGAGGTATAAGTAAATTGATCTGGTTTGATATGCAACATTGCAACATCCTCCAAAATAACCTGCAATAAGATCCAAAGTAACCATGAGTTGACCTTTTGCATTATCTTGTACAGTTTCAACCCTTGACACTGCATTTGTGCAATGTGATACTACACCACCAAGCCTTACACAGTCTGACAGTGGGATACAAGACCACCGAGCCCCACACAATCTGACAAGGGGATACTAGACCACTGAGCCTCACACAGTCTGACAGTGGGATACTAGACCACCAAACCCCACACAGTCCGACAGTGGGATACTAGACCACCGAGCCCCACACGGTCTGACAGTGGGATACTAGACCACCGAGCCCCACACGGTCTGACAGTGGGATACTAGACC